TATCAGCGGAACAAAGGATATAAAAAACATCAAAAACATATTTTGTTCCCGTTTAGTTGCCCGCAGCTCAATACGGCGTGTCAGTTAGTGGAAAAAACTTTTTTCTGTATTGTTTTTCGTAAACACAATGTGACCACCCCATCAAATACGGCCCGCGGTGACGTATCCACGTTACATTCGAGCAAATAGCTATTTTTTATAAGCCTATGACATTGCAACGGTTTTTTTTTCGTATATTTTTAATCTATGGCATGCACGAACCTTTTTGGAACGTTTCGAATATGGCTGTGATAGTTGAGCCTCACATAGTCAGGATGAATATAATGGAATGGAAAATTTGTTGCTGTGTTTGCTTATTTGCTATTTCGAAAGAGCATCGTTTTTATGTAGAATATTTTTGTTATTTTTATTCCAATTTCGAATTCCAAAGATTTAAGATTCAAATACAACGGATCATTTACTCAAAAAGCGATCGATAAACTGTTTAAAAATAGAATGCCCGTTAATGAAGATGAATTATAAATATTATTTGACGTGTAAAAGTGCCGTTTTATGGCCTATTTGCAAAAATAAAATCCATTGTTTCAATGAACAAGTTAGATTTGTCAAGATATATTCTTTATTGCACATATTTTCTAAACCTTCGAACAAGAACAGGCTAATAAACCTATTTAAATATAAGTAGAGTGTACAATGGGCGATCTTATCACACGGCGTGAATTCTTTCAGACAAGACTTTAGGATGGAAACATAAAAGAAACCTGGTAATGGACTGTCTAGTACCTACCCAATAAATATAGCATAATAATAAATATTTCATAAAATACATATGTACATATCTAAGTATGTATCTACATTATACATTGATTTAGGTGCTAGATATAAATATAAAATATTTTTTTTGCTAATCAAATAAACAATTTGTCTATGAACACTTAGAACTTATCATAATAGGCCCGAGAGGTACAAAATCGGTATGTAAGGCACGTTGTATGATATTTTCTTGTTACTTAATATACCTGTACTTGTGTACCTGTATTAATTCACTGGAGAACGTTTGTACCCAGGTGTACCCGCTACAGTTTAATTAAAAAACATACGCCTCCAACACACATTTATGAATTTAAAACATCCCGCTATGAAATTATAATATTTTGAGTTGGTACCTACTCTACCCGGTTTTTTGTGCGACGTTGCTTTTGTTAATAAGTATTTTAATAATCTCAGACGTTTTTTTTTCGTTCGGTGAAAAATAAAGAAGACGTTTTTTTTTTGGAATTATTATGGAACGTTAAAAAAATGTTTCTTTTTTTGAAATGTGGAAATCACAAAATGGCTTCTCCTGGTTTGCGGCGCTTCCGAGAGGTAGTGTCAGACTCTTACTGACTAAAAACCACCTCATTCCTTCTCCTGTTCTTCGGGGTTGTCGCGCAAGGACTCCTCGTGGGTTCAATTCCGGTACGGAAAAGCTCTGTGTAACCCACAAATTGTTGCTCTTAGCTTGGATGTGATGATATAAAATTGTAAGTAGGTAAACGCTTTAAATTTTTGAGAACTATAAAAATGTATACATACAAATTTTATAATTAAGAATGCAGAAAAATACGAAATCTAAACTTAAATAAAAACCAATAAATGGGAGTATCGATATTTTTAGACAGTTCCTTGATTTTTTTTGAAGTAAAGTTTTAAGAAACTTTGCTAACACTAGGATTATTTCCTGTGTCATGGGTGCGTTTACAATAGATCAACACTTTAATAGATTTATAAGAGACAGCAATTTATTTTTGACTGAGTTACCATCGCCATTACCATCAAACTCACAAATGCTCATCACTTAAAGCCGTCCAATTAGAAATCAAATTTAAAAACAAAACTGTAACCCGATAGCGACAGCAATAAATCAGCATCATATTTCGTAGCGAATAGATTAAATTTTATGCAAATCGATTAATTATTTAATAAGTGCCCATATTAACATATATCATTGATTGAACAGCAGCATTGATGGCCATATAAATGGGTTCACTGTATAAACGAAATGAATTTAATTTTTGGTCACCAATCGAGATTTTGAACTAAAATGCATCGTTCCCTATCATTGGTGGAAATTTGCATGAATAATTTCAAACCGTACCCACTGTTTTACTGGACGACTCCATTTTCGCTGTCCGTAGGGTTGTCTAGTATCTGTATTGTGCTTATCTATTGTATTATTTGGGCAGTTAGGTTTTATTTAATTTTAGTTTTTATAAAATGTAATGTGTGATGTTCGGACAATCTAACTTTTATAATGATTAAAAAATAAAGAAAACGTGTTTCCGTAATTTCTTTTTCATTTCAGGAAAGCGATTCAAAAATCTAGCAAGTAAAATGTTTTCAGAAACTCCCAGTTGCAAACCAAGTAAAAGGCTTACAGCAAAATCTATGAATATTATTATCAAAATAATTTTTGGCATATTCTTCTCTTCGAAATACGCATGGTTTTTGCTATGTAAAAAGTGTTTGGTATAGTAATATCTACAAAACAGTGGGCAGCCCTAGCCGGCTGTTCCCACAAATTGTCACCCAAAGTGGTCCGATGTGGGTGAGAGGGGAGGGAAGGGGTTTACCGGGAGAATGTTAGGGGTGGATTTTTTCGGGATCGCACGTTAGGGCTTTCGGCAATTTACCTAATTGCAGTTCATTTTCACTTCATTTTATTCCCATAAAGGTTTATACGAGGATCAAAGGTTTTAGGGTCTTGCTTTAATGGATCATGAATATTTGTATGTTGTTTTAATAATTAGGATTTTGTGCATACTCTTACTTACTCGTGAGCCTGCGTAAGAGGTTTTGCGTGTTCAGAATTTATATTTACATATAATTTAACTTCCATTACGTTTGCTGGGTAATTGGATTAGCTGTTGGTATTTTACTGTGTGTTACCTTATTTGGATGCAGCAATATTCTCGAATTATTCGTTTGTTTAGTTTCTCCTATTCGTTATAGCAGTTTACAATAAAATAATATACCTACATTGATATTTTTGATGTCCATCCAACCGATAATGACTTTCGAGACCTCCTTTTAGGCCATTTCTGATGGCGCGACTTGTAATCTTCTGTATATTAAAGTTCCTATATCACAGTTGTAACACATTACCAAGTAATTGAAACTCTATCTCTCATCGCATCCCCAGCCATCTTCACATCAAGATACGCCTAATTCACCATTTCAATATAGCTTAGTTTCAATTGGCCGCCTTCGCTCGTCCGTGACGCGAATGCTGACGTCGGCGCCTGGTCGAAATACAAGAGCAATGCGACCATCTGAATCATGCAGCTAAGAATCCGTATTAGGAGCACGTATGATGCATTTTCTTTATTTTTCTTTTCGTACAGAATATTCCGTAGCTGCTCCGAAGGTTGTGGTTATGGAAATCGTGATTAGGTATTAGCTTGTTGGAGAATTTCATATTGTGAATTCAATCTGTAGTGGCTTAGATTTGTGGTTTTACATTTTTATTGGCTTTTCGTTGTGTTTCTTGACCAAAATTCATTACAGTGAGTTGATTGGTAAACGTTTTCATTTCAAATGAAGTACAATTAAGTTAGGTAGGTGTATAAGTTAATTGATAATAGAAATGGATTTAATACACATCGTCAAAAGATTAACCTACAAGATTATGGGTCTTCATTGTAACAGAAGAGCCTATTACTTAAAAGTATTTATTTTCCAATGTGGTGACGTGAAGGTAAAATAGCAAGGAAACCAGGACACATAATTTTTCATTAGTTTTCAATTCTTCTCCATGTGTCAAGAAGTGTTTGTTCATCAGTGGGTTATCTGTAATGTGGCGTGTCGACCAAATATTATCTTATTCACATTTTATTTAACGTGTCGGTCGTGCCTCCAGTATCAGTTTTATCAAAATCAATTTATGAAATAATTTAAAATTCCGTCTCAGCCACAGTATAGTAAGTTGAGAAGTCTAGTCGGTGTGTGCTGACACTGAGAACCGATTCAATATAGTCGCGTTCTCGTTTCAACCGAGAATCAAACGTGACGAGAATTCGTTCCGTATCATAGTTTATTTCTCAACTTATCCCTGTTATGGAATACTATTTTGTGGGTCGTGTCTAGAAAGGCTGGCTGCATTTTCAATGAAGGTTTATTTTGAAATGGTTTCGCATTGAATTTTTGTTTTATTTATGTAACAAGAGGACCTTTAACACCGAATGTAATTGTTATTTGAGAATTTAAATTAGAAATATCGTATCGACTTTACACAAGTTAAGTTGAATCTTAAGTTATTTCTTTCTTTGTACATGTATTTGAGAAGCGAATGCTGTTCAAAAGCGAGAATGTCAAGCCAGAAGGTGTTTTTAGTTGTAGTATTAGTGTATTTGGTTACTCAAAAAGTATATTTTTTTGTTATCCGGCGAAAGCGAACATACTTACATACTTACTTACATACTTACTTTTGTAATATCACAGGTGGGGACTACTAGAGCCAAACCGTGGCCGGGATTCCGGTCAAAGTGTGATGATATATACTACTTTAAACAGAAATGAGTGGAGAGAGGTTTAATCAATAAGAGATACAATAGGATTTTTTTTCAAAAAAAATATATGTTTAATACTTACCTACTCTTCTATCTGCTTTGTCTAAGGCATATAAGACTAACGTTATGTTTTCTTTTTTTTTGTGAGGGTAAAATCATCAAAGGCCTTCTCCCGCCCAGAGCCGGGCGGGAGGGAGTGTCAGACTCTTACTGACTAAAAACCCCCCTATTCCTTCTCCCGAGGTCGCGGTACCTCATTGCGCTTACCCCGCAACCCCGGCTGCACATCAGCCCTACAGGGCCCTGTGGCGGTACGGATCTGTGGTGGTACGCGCCGTAGGTACGCTCGGGAAGACTAACAAGTACAAATAATTTTACATTTCAACCTAATCCACTGAAGTCACTATAAAAAGAAAACTCGTAATTCCAATTAATTTCTATCATATTTATTTTCTACAATTTAGAACATATATCTATTCCTATCTCTGTCTTTTCTAATTTGCATATATCTTTCTCTTTTTTACCAACGGCTTCTGCCTGGCAAACATTGTCTGGTAAGACATCATCCGATGTGTCTGGCAGTAGCGTGATGAGGCACGCTGTCAGGACAGATAGGACGCCAATTATGAGAGATGGCAGACCTTCCCAGTAATCTAGCTGCAATCGAAAATTTGTTTTAGAAAATATACCTTAGACTGATTTTATAGTATGTATAGGACCGCAGAAAAGTCCTTAAAATCCATAGATAAATGCATGCACAATAAAACCTGGTTTACGATATCTGAATGGCCGCTATGTACCACAATACATGTAGGTATTTAAATATGACTGTTGGTGCGGTGTATACGGTTGGTGCGGTAGCTGGGCAACTGGCTGTCGTGCAACGTGTCGCGGGTTTGATTCCCGCACGGAACAACTCTTTGTGTGACCCACAAATTGTTGTTCCGGGTCTGGGTGTCATGTGCTTGTGAAATTGTATGTTTGTAACCGCACCCACGACACAGGAGAAAATTCTAGTGTGGGGCAACGTTTTTTTTAAAAAAAAAATATGGAACGTTACTTGTATGAACTATGTGCCATTCAATTTTATTTTGAACTTATATGAAGGTAAGAAAACATTAGGATTGAAGTTTTTGTCAAACGTTAGTGAATTGGATCGATTCTTGAATCAGATAACAATAATTAAAAGAAAGCTTACTCAATAAAGAAAAAAGTAGCTGGTGTAAAAACCTCGCGTACGTTTGTAAAAGTATCATGAATTCAAAACCAAATAAGTATCAAAATATTATTATCAAACCAATATCGGCAACCCATCCATCAATAGTACTAACTATCAAATGTATGGAACAAAACGACTTACTAATAATGGCGTCTGGGGTGCGACGATGGCAGCGATTCTTCCCAACGCAGAGCAGAGCGCGTGCATTGTATTCCGAGTGTACGTGGGAAATAATTCCGAGGTGTATATGTACACGATGCGTATCGATACCGAGGAACAAAGCTTGCCCGAAACGTACAACAATATGGAGAGCCAGCCGTACCCTGTGGAAGATAGGATTGGTTCGAAAGATGGGTTGAATGTGTTGGGATTGTAAAGTTAGAGATCTATGCTATGTAGGTTTATGCTATAAATTTGGTTTTGCTTTTTTGGCTTACTGGTGTTAAAAATGTATTATAATGCCCTGGAACTAATAAAACTACTACTGAAATAGTTCATTTCTAAATCTTCTTCGCTTTTCGGTAAATCAAAAAAAAAAATATTCTAAATTCAAAATTTAAAAAAGCACTGGTTTTATAATGGTAAGTGTCCATATAACTAAGTTAATGTAATATATTGTTAATTATTCACAAAATGTTTTCTTACAACAAAATACATTTCCTCTACTTTTTTCGGACTAGATGCAATTTCTAATAAACATAAGCGTCTGCCGTGTGATGATAATACAATTTTCGTTTACATACCTTTAGGAAGAATGGAATGCGCCGTACAAAATGTTCCAGTAAGCAGAAAAGAAAATATCAAAGGCCTCTTTCTTGTACATTTCATTAAGAGGAACAGTATGATAACACTTGCTGGGAAGCCAGTTAGGGCCACGAGCTCAAAATTAAGGTATTTGTTGCCCTCCAACGACACAGAGTTTATCAACAACGAATAAGCATTAAATAACGCTGTGAACCACATACAAATACAGCATAGTAATCTTAATAACAGTTTCTTTGACGAAACCGTTATTTTCACCAACGTTGTCAAGCTTACGTTGGCTGAATTCTCTTCGCATTTCAAGTTTGATAATTTTGTTTCATCTATAACTATATTGTTCATTTTAGCTGCTTTTCTGATCAAGTCGTCCGCTTTTTTCTTCTCGCCTTTGTTTAGTAGCCATCTTATGCTTTCGTCGAAGCAGAAAATGTAAAGAATGAATAATAATGCTGGGGCGTATATTGATATTAGGAAGATTCTCCAGTTCGGTGCCAACCAGGCGATGATGCCGAGCGTTACTGCTCCACAAGTTGTGAACAAACTCAGTAAGAATATTATAATAGGTCGATGCTCTTTTGTTACTGATTCTATTGCTGGAAGAGAAATTTAATTGTTTATTATTATTTGTAGCTCTTTATTAGTTGTTATGTGTGAACTAATTTAGCTGTTCATGTTATTACAAAACAATTAGCATCCTACAATGAAACAGAAAGGCAGCCTATTGCCCAGTAAGAGGTACTTCTGAGAGGAAAGTCCTGGAAATTGAATTTAAAATCTTGTCTTACGTAGTCACTAAGATATATGTATTAATACATATTTGTGTTTACATACACGAGATTTATTAATATTTGTGTTTACTTATAGACGTTGGTGCGTTTACATGCACATCACACAAAGACCCGGAACAAAAATTTGTGGATTAGAAAAAATGTTGTTCCATGGCGGCGTCGAACACGCGACACGTTGCGCTACAGCCCAGCTACCGCGTCAAAAACGCGCGTAATAAAGTTGAAATTAAAAAAAAAAATTACCTAAAGTAAATGTAGCGGAGTAACAGTCTCCAAGCAGTGGTTCCATGAGTTCAAGACTTACATACAGCCAATAGGAGTAGACCACACTCTTAGCCAGACCAATCGCAGCGCATGCTACTGCCGTGAATATCACTACGATCTTTCTACCATATCTAAAAATAAAAGTTGTTTATACGTAAGAATTATTTAAATTCCTCTCATTTTAATTACTTATAATACTTTTGTTCACATTGGCTTGTTGTTTAAGTGGTACATAAAAAGCCATTCATTTTCAAGGCTTTTTCGGCGCAATTTACCTTACCAGATTAGTTTTTTTTATTTTGGTAAATTCTTATACTAGTATGCGTTGCTATCCATCTGTTCCTTGAAGGTATGAATATCATGCTTTGAGAGCAAAGACATTTATGTAATTGTAATAAATAATCTCTTTACTTTTCAGCGGAACATAATAGGAATATCAAAATACTCTTTAAAACACTAAGAAACATTGACCGCAAAGCATAATATTATTATCATAAGAAACCCAAACACGCCAATCAACAAATAATAGTGTGAAACTAAAACAATGAACACTTAGTCATTTTGTGTAAACAGTGTCATTATCAGTGGAGGAAGATCGTGCCGTGAATTATTTGGCAATTTTCTCATAAATTTGCATCTAGCAAATATGTCGTCAAAAATGGTTCCCTACTTTAAAATCCAGTATTTTAATATAAATTTTGAAACGATCGAATTTTAATTGTGTTTCTTGAAGAATCGATTGTTACAAAAGATTTCTAAAATAACAGATTATAGAATTTGATATTCCTTAATTGAATGTTAAGAAATAGAGATTATTTAAAATTACTTGTCTGATAAAGGTCCAACTAGGAACAGGCCTATCATGTATCCGACGCTGTGCATCGTACCAACGAGTGTCCTCTTCCAACTCTCGCATCCAAGATTGAACTGTAATGAGAGAATAGACAGGAAAGTTGTAAAAAAAGAATAAAATTTTGTCAACGAACATATTTTTAAAGTAGTACACGTCTTGGAAAGAGGTGTATATGTTGTTAGCATTAAGAAAACGACGCCCGTTGGGTTTTGAGAATTGGAAAATCACTCTCACAGAGAAATAGGTTGTATTCGTTGAATCATTCCGGTCGAGTCAGCCGATTCGTACCGAATTATGATTCTCCTTCTCTAGTATTTCTTCAGTTATCTTCCGAAGAATATCGTCCATTGACCTGTCTCAGTTCCAATGCTGTTCTGTAAATTTTTTGTCACCAAGACCATCTTCATTGCATCGTAGATCGTAAAAAACATTCGTTAGAATCTAACTGTTAATCAGACATCGGTTTATCAATGAAATAAAAGATAAATATTATTTTACATACCTCTGCAACAAAACTGTCCGGTCTTTCATAGACCCATTCACTACACTCAACAGGGTTTTGTGAATTGAAATTGTCCGCAACACATGCCCCATTATCGTCGTACATTTTATATTTATGACATTTGAAACCAAAACTTGAATTTAACTCCAAATTCACCAGATCTGTGTACCCGCAGTTTGGATGTTTACACCTGGAAAAAATCGTAGTTTAATTGCATTAGGACACTTGGAAGACTAGAGTAAGTTCCAAGTGTTTTGCTGGCCTTCTGAGGTTGGGGAAATTGGGGTAACGTAAAGAGTCGAGGACAAAGAAGGATTATAGCTTGTAATAAATAGAGGCGATTAAGTAAAATACGCGAGCGATGTAAATAAAATATTAGTAAAATACTTCGGGAAGGATTAATCTTTATTTCATCCAGCGGTTACGCCCCGCAATGAGAAATCATTGTGAAGAACATGATTCTTTTGGTGTTGTCACAAATGTGATAATGTGACAGATCCATATTAACAATATTAGCCCAAGAAATCAGTCTCATAGTTAATCATTTCATATCAAGACAATGCTAATGTAACCTCGTAACTCTAAAGTGGATGCTATTTTCCGTCTCAATTGAATGTGTAAGTACGTGATTGGCTTACACGATGATAATATAAGTATAATAGGAAGTGCATAAGGTCGAAAGGTAACTGATGATATTATTTGTCAAATTGATCAGCTTCAAACATCATTTTAATATGTCAATTATTCTTAAACGGAGTACAAGTGTAATGATGTAGTCTCCAAAGGAAGGGATGCGTCCATTAAGCTTTGTATGTTTATTCAACTAATAGAACACTTACCTGTATCCATAATTTTCAACAGCAAATATGTAATTCGTACTATGCCACATGCTGCCAAAAGCAAGCATTCCTAACAGAAATATTAACTTTAAATGATATCGTCCAAATATTTTCAATTCACGCAGAACAGTTTCTAAATCCATCACTATTTCTTTTGAATTAATTTCACTATTCACTCCAGATGAATCCATTTTTCCTTCTTCTGCAAGTTTGTCTTCATTTTTATTTTCACACACTTTTCCTTCCTTTTCATTTTTCGTATTAATTTTATGTTCGGATTTTATTTTTTCTTCTTTATCATTTTTCATTGTGATTGCTTCGTCAAAATGTGTTATTTTTGCGGCGGGTGGCGTGACACTAAACATTTCATTGTTTTGAGTACGCCTTGTGTATTGAATGGAGGACAGTATATGTTTTTAATATGGCTAGTTAAATAATATGCGGCTGGAACTGAAGTCACGTGTTACAAAGGCTTTACAGTACACTTGGATCATTCAAAGACAATTTCAGAAAACCTTGAGGAATTTGCCACTTCACAGAACACTTCTGTTTAATAGTTTATCAAGTCATTATAAAATACTTAGCACTTTTTTCACTTGTTGCTATTATTAGGAAGTGTTTTGTTTTTAAACTTTCGTGGTGTCATTTGGACAGTTTGTTTGTGGCTGAAGCAATCTATTGGTCTAGTTGTTGTTGATCATATAATACCAAATCAGTTTGCAACGAGTTATTCAATAATCGGTTTAAAAGGAGTTTCTCGTTAGGAGAATGAAATAAGTGATATGATGTTGAACAAAATTCTAGTACTATTATTTAAGTAAAGTAATTTTGAATTCAACTGATGTGGAACGAAGTATGGCCATGTCAAATTGCCTACACGTATTTCTTCACTTGTTTAAACAATGTTCTCTATGTATGGATGTTTTTAATCCTATACATAGCAGTTGTCATTTGTCATAGTTTAAACAATATTGTTTTATGAGTTTACATTTGTTTTAGAGCTTATTAATTTTCGAGGTATATTAAGAAAGGTATTTTTATAGAAAGTATTGATTTTGAAAAAGCATTGGATTGATGTATGATTGGTTTTGTGTAACAAGATTGGACTTTTAAATATTCGTTTGACTCTGTTTTAGTATGTTAATAATTAATGCATGTTAAACTATAATATTATTTAAATTATTAGAAAAGTAACAATAACCCATTTCGCACTAACCAATCCAGCGAGGAAATGTTTTATTTTTAATACGTTTATATTAAGTACAAAAAACCATAAAAAATACTTATATAATAAAATCTAATAATGTGATTTACACACAGTTCTCATTCTCAAAGTTCACAAAGTGCATGGAGATCTACCCATACACATATAAACAGAAAATTGTTTACCTACGTAACTATTGAATAGTCATATAGAAAGTCATAAGAAATTCCCAGCTGCAATTGGTGCTATTTTCTTACTTATTTATAGACGTAACCGATGATATCGACAGGCAATGTTACGTATGCCTTTTGTATTGTACAGTGAAGCAAAGGTTGATTAGAATATCTTTGTCAGCCGATACTGTGAGAGCGGTTTATGGGGCATTTGAAAGTCACCGGGCAGCTAGGGTTGCGGGGCAAGCGCAATAAGTTACTGAGGCTTCAGCCTAGAGAAGCATCAGGAACAGGGGGATTTTAGCCAGTAAGAATGTGACACTCCCACTCGCCTAACCCTGGGCGAGAGAAGTAATTTGAACCCTCACAAAAAAGAACTCTTTGATAAAACTGAAACTGAAACTGTTTCAAAGGGAACTAAGATCAATTTTTCTACCATTGCATGGAGATTTTATTAGAAAAAAAATTCTTCTTCATCAATTATTCTTAATCAGTCTTGAATGTTGATCATAAATGTCTTTTTTTAAATCAAGTAGTTTAAGAACAATAAACATTTGAAAAATTTCGGTCAGATCTTTAAAATTTCTATTTATTTTTAATATTAGTACTAGTGGGCAGGCTTCCTTCTAGGTAGATCAAAGATCCTGTATATGACAAGATGCTCATGATGAACAGCATTCTTACTAACAGCAACAAAACATTCGTATCTGTGTTCTTTAGACGTTTTGCACCAAGTGTTTCAGCCTGCTGCACGGTATCTGGTGGCACGTCTTCAGCAGTATCAGTCATTATCATCACCATCAGGGGAGTAGTGAGTGATAAGCCTCCGATGATCAGTGATGGGAATCCTTTCCAGTAACGAATCTGAAATAAGCAAGAGGAAGATCTTCAAGCAATTGTCACACCATTATTGCTTGAGGATTTTCTTGGTCTTAGCAATAAATGGTATGACCATTGCTTGAAGATAGTGTTACATTGAAGATTATGTCGGTTGTTTGTGGAGGTCCAGGAATGGAGACCGTTAAGGCAATAACTGTTAACCTAATCATGCTTATATCATTACTTAACAGATTTTGCTGAGTTTACAGAAGAAGAAGGTGAATCCAATTTTAGAATCTTATTTATTTTTCAATCCATAATTTTTTCACCCAATATTTGCATAGTGAGAAAAGTATACTTACTTTTAAGAAACAAACGCAATCAAAGCTTTGGCGGGGCATTGATGGAATCTCGGTAGTAAGAACAATTTGGAAATTATTTTCATAAATTTTCATTCATATACAACATAATGTATATAAGGTAGACTTAATGCATTGAGCATTCTATACCAGTCTGACCTTTGGATGATGTAAAGAAGAATACTGATAGTAGATGCAGTAGCTAGCAACCATACAATACCGAAGAACCTACCATACAATAAAACTAGACAAACAATACATATCTCTATTATCCAATACCCGTTACAAATAATATACTTACATATTACATAACCTTAATACATATCGAATGAACCATCTAGTGAAGGAGGTAGGTGATAAATACTTGCCAGCAAAGTCGTTTGCGGTGCGAGAGTAGCTCCAAATCTTCCAATAGAGGAGCATAGAACATGCATCGTGTTACTTGTATAGGTCGGGAACAATTGAGAGGTGTGTGTAAGTACACTGTTCCAGTAGTTAGGGCTGCTATGACCTTACCCACGAAAAACAAAGTTTGAAAGTATTGGGTAACCTGGAAACAAATTGGAATTCAATTAAATATATTATTATTATGTTTGTGTAAATCTTAATATTGATGGACTAGCTGTTGTCCGCGACTCCGTCTCCCTGGACTTTAGTTTACAACGCGCGGTGATTCCCGTTTTCGTGGAAATGTCAAGATAGAGAATGCAAGGTTTCATCAAAATTTATTCAGTAATTTTTGTCTGAGCATCAAATATTCAAAAATCCTCACAAATTTTCGTGTTTATAATATAAGTCTATAACGTACTAATATTATAAAGAGGTAAAATTTGTAATTTATCAAAGCATAGGTATTTGATGTACTTAATTCCTTCCAACTTTACTGAGTTTATTAGTTAAATGTACTTGTTGAACAGACCAGTAACCCACATGCAGATGCACGCCGCGAACCAAAACACCAACTTTCTCAAACCAACCGTCACTTTAAGAAGGTCCATCCTAACTGTCGCTTCAATCTCCTTCTCGCACTCTGTATATAATATTATCCAAATCAAATTCACTTAAATCAAAATTGGATCCTTTATACTTTGTTTTGATTAGCTTCTTCATTGCGACCCGTGATTAATAACCATCTAAGACTTTCATCTAGCAGAAAAGCGAATAATAAAAATAGCAAGGACGGTGCATAAATTACTTGAAGGAAATATCTCCAGTAAGGAACTGCCCAAGCTATGAGAGCCATCAATATCCCAGCTATCGACGTACTTGCTGTCATTAACGTGATGAATGAAACTCGATTCGCCTTTGTTACCATTTCAACACCTGCAAAGATATTTGCTTTTAGTAGTTTAAGACGTTGTCACTTTGAAGTGAAATCATAAATCTTGAACGCTCATTCTGAAGTATTCTTAAATATTTATGAATCAGCACAAGTATTCATGTTAAGTTTGAATTTTTTATATCTTTGATGCGTGTAAATAAACAAGAGCTGTATTTGCGAAGAGATTTTTTTTTAAATAAATTTGTTTTCTTCTTGAAGCTTTATTACAAAGTGCTTGGTTTTTATGCTGTGTCATTGTTATTTTGATTTGTTGTTAAAAAATCTTATTATTTTTGACAAAATTCTTGTTAATAGCGTGCGATTGTTTTTAAAGAAATTTAATTTATCCGGAGTATCCTAAATAGAAACTCTTTGTACCACCAAAATATATTATATTCTTACCAACACGTTCTTTTTCCAAATTTGAACGTAAGTACCTACGTTGAAAAAGTCTAATTTGTATTTGGAAGACATCGTCTGAATTCTGAATACTTTGTGTAAATAAGGCATTTGTAAATTAGTTTTTTTATAATTATAAAAATGGGTTTTAATTTGTAGTCTATAAGAACTGGTTTACATTGTAAGGCTTTTTTTTGTCAGGGGAAAATCATCCAATGACTTCTCCCGCCCAGGGTCAGACTCTTACTGACTAAAAACCCCCTCGTTCCTGCTCCTGTTCTGGGCCGAGGTCGTGGTGCCTCATTGCGCTTACCCCGCAACCCCGGCTGAACGTCAGCCCTGTTGGGCCCTGACTGTGGTGGTCTATTGGCTCTTTGAGGCGCGCGCGGAACGCTACGCGTCGTACGCTCGGGTCTGGTTCTGGTCGGGCGGCGAGCTACCCTTACTCGCCGTCCGCAGACCCGCGCTTATCAGGAAATTTGTTGCCTCGTTAGTATATTATATCCCGATAAACCGAACCAAGTTTCGGCACGAAAGGGTCGGCTCGACCGGATTGATACCACGGCCTCACAGAAAACCGGCGTGAAGCGACCAAAGCGTTGTGTTTCGCATGTGAGTGAAGTTACCGGAAGCCCAATCTTCTCCCCCTCCCTTCCCAATGCTTAAATATCCTAAACCTTTATCCCTAAAAGGCCGGCAACGCACTCGACAACAACTCCTTTGAAGTTGCGGGTGTCCATGGGCGACGCTTATTGCTTACCATCAGGTAATCTGCCGGCTCGTTTGCCGAACCATACCATAAAAAAAATGTGCTAATACTCAAAACATCAACCTACAAAAGGGCGGCAACCAAATTACAATATAACTCTGGGCTGAGTGTGTTTGGTTTGGTGGTGTTGGTTACTTACCATCAGATCACGTATTCCTTTGCCATAAATAAAAGTCAAAGTCGAACTCAAAATCATTTATTTTAATTAGACTACGGTAGGCACTTTTGAACGTCAAGCAAAAAAAGGAAAAAAAGTATTTAAAGAGCTTTAACTTTAAACATGTCAATAAATATTCTCCTTTCAAAAAGGCAAGCATTACACATAAAGAAAAATTCACACAATAACACATACAACAGGCGCTAAAGGCTTATTGTGCAATTAGAAATTAAATTATTCAAACGCAATCCAAGTGTATTATGAGAAAAGTTGTGGGTTTGAGTACTAAGTTGTTTATAGCTAACACAAATACCTGTGGAGGTTAAACTCAGGTCAGTTTACATTGCACTCACTAACTTCGCTTTGAATTAATTACCTTTGGTTTAACTAAAGATTTGTGATTGAACTGAACCTCGTGGCGCCCGCTTCTAATACTATCGAAGTATGGATGAGAGAGTTTGAAATGTAGCAAGTACCAATGTGACTTTTTCCGAGTTTTATTAGGTATAACTCGGAAAAAGTCATATTGGTACTTGCACAAGTTTATATATTATACTTTCCAATTTATTTAGACTCCATTGAAATACGAAGAGGTAACCTGAACTTTTACATAGTTGGTAATTATTAGTTTGAAATTGTGTATCTGTCTTGAATAAGCGTGGTGATTCCCTTCTTCGCGTGAGAAGGCGGCTTTCCTTCATAGTGAATACTTACTGGTTGGTTATAATTATGATTATATTGTATACAGGTACAAATTTTAAAAAGATAAAGAATTCCATTATTTTGTAGTAGTAAAGCGCCTACAGGATTTTTATGAGCATTGATTTTTATTGTTTAAGTTTGTCAATAAAATATATTTGAATATGAATTCGATGTAACAATACTAATATAATAAGATATAGGTCTTTAGTAGTTGTTTTCGTAATAAGTGCATAAGCTTACACGTTAAAAAAAAGGTACCAATTTAAACCTTAAGTTTCAAAACTGCGTAGTACACAATTTTGTTCCTAAAAGATCCATTGCACAGACAAACGGCTAACTTCAGACTCACCAAGATACGACGGCCGTACTGTAATTATTATTTGTCAAACATATATCATACATATTATTATTTAAAATATCACCAGTACTTTCTAAAATAAGCAAATACAAAAATGTATACTTACCCAATATTTTATTTCAAAATACCTAATTCGAAAATTACTTTAACATCGTTTAAAAATGGAAGCGAATGATCAAATAGCAAGCTAGCGACCACGAACGACTGATTGGATATTAAAATAAAATATATGTAAAGCAAGATTACCTAAATTGCTTTCATCTACAATCCATACTGATTTGAATCGGTAAATTGGATCGCTTTGCTCTTTGTACTAATGAGGCCCTAATTGGATGGCTCAGTGTCCGTTCTAATTGCTTTAGCGATTAAACTTCATTGTCATGCAACGTATGGCATCGACCAAGATGGTTGCTGCTTTTTGCAAAACATAAGATTGATGTCATTACTGAGAATTTATTGCGTTGCTAATGACCGTTTTGTTGATTAAATGGATGCAACGAATTTATATATATATATATATATATTTTTGATGTAATTGGTCGGCAAACGAGCAGACGGATTACCTGATGGTAAGCAATCAGCGCTGCCCATGGACACCCGTAACGAGGAGTTACGAGTGCGTTTAGGGATTAGGGATTTGGAGATTTAGGGATTGAGGAGGGATTGGGGGCGGGGAAGGATTGGGCATCCGGTAACCTCACTCACACGGCGAAACATAACGCTGTGGTTGTTTCACGCCGGTCTTCTGTGAGGCCGTGGTATCACTCCGGTCGAGCTGACCCATTCGTGCCGAAGCTTGGCTCTCCCACACTTAAAATTGTTCTCCTATAAAGTGCTTGTAAAAAGTTTATATTACGATGATAAAAAACTGTGTTACAACGTTGGTAAACAACTTATAATACATAACGTTTTAAGCGCAACAAAAAGCTTCAAATCCAGCTAAGCAAAAAATACATTAAATACCAATAACCCACAGACACAGAAGTAAAAGCAATCAATGTTCATGCGTTACTTCAAAATAAGACGAACTCATTACGGCGGTTGAGAAAATCCTGGCAATTTCCTGCGAGGCCATCGGAGCAAAACATATAGAACTGATAAAAGAACAGATCAATTCAATTCTCAATACAAAACCGCTTTATAGGAACGGCAAAGATGAGGCGGGATCGTTGTAAGGCACAATGTCGGTGATGACGTGGGTTACTGAATGGCGCGCCGCGTGCCCGTAGTCCCTACCACTGGAATTCGGCCGTTTAAGCAAAAAGTATTTTTTTAATTTATTATAGCCGAGTTGGGTAGCCATGAACTTTAGTCTATCGGTGAACTTATGGGGAATTTGTATTGGAATATTTTGACCAAAACTTTTATTGAAGATGGAAAAATATAGGGTAGCTTTAAATTTGATAAACATGTATATGATAGACGTATCAATTCTAGGCTCTTGTTATATCATTTTTTTCTAATAAATACATTCATCTTTAACTTGGTCTCTCAACCCTTGATTCTTTTAGCTCGTGCGTATACAAACACTTAAAAAATATAAATGAAAACACAAATACATTATTTAACCTTCTTCATAGCATAAAATCAAACAATCATGTTTACATTCACGATTACAAAACCCGAAGATAAATCTCACATTTAAGAGCCAAGCCAGTAGTAGGGGCCGCGATAACTGTACAGGAAATAAAGGCCCACCCGGGCCTCAATACTGCCTCGGAAAACATTCGGCTTGATTGGCTGCTGGCTTACGGCAACTCGGTGACCACGGATGACTTTCACGCGTATCAGAAAAATTTTGCACACGCTTTTTGTAAGGTTCCAACGAGGATCTAGTTTGAGTAAATTGATTCTGTTTGATTTTGACTTTAGGACTTTAGGATTATTTTATTATACCAAAAATTATATGTAATTTTTTACAAGAATTACATCTGTTATAATATACACACAACATGTATCTCAAATTCAAGTTTTAGTTCCAATAAAGTATTGAGGTTTAGTCGTTTACTAAATAAATGCACAAATTGTGTTAAAATATGTTAGAGTCATATTTATTATAGTTATTTACTGTTGGATGTAACAACATTAAAAAAACAACACAGTAAACAATACAATTCCATTTTCCCCAGACGACAGAATTCAAAATAGACAAAATAAAAATAAAGAATAGTATTTTTTTTCTAAAATAACTTATTGTTTTTGATTCTATATTTAATACTATATTAAAATAAAAGTATTTTTTTTTTATGTATTTTAGAATTGTATTGTAGAATTCCAGAAAACATTACCGAAAAACTATCACATACGACTATTATAAACACAACGTACTCCCACGCGTGTGATTCGACCATACGCTACAAAAATAGTGAGTTGATCGTTCACTTTTATACCACAAGCATCCAAGTTTTCAGTTCTCATTGTAACCTTATATTATCGATTTGTAATAAAATATTATGATTATCGCTCTGCGGTGTCATAGTCATATTCTGTCGTATTTCGTATGTTATAAGGTGGTTCGTGAAATTCAATGTGCAAATATTGTTTTGTGTGTTGTTTATGTTTTTGCTACTACGCTTGTGGATTCTTGATCGTTGAACGCAATGTGTATTTGTAGTAAAGTGTTTTGGTACTTAAAGAATGTTTTTAAAGGTTTTTGTGAGTGTAACTTAGTAGTTTGTAGCTGTTGTGTAGTTTAATATTTTTATATAAGTTTGTTTTTTGTAATAATACCTAACTTGCTCTAAAAAATTAAAAGAATTTGGGGCTAGAATTCAAAACTAAAATTCTTTTCGAAATTCGACGAAGCAAATTGGCTTTAAAATTACTTACGTATAAACAAAAAAGTGTAATATAACTTAACTTTTCATATTTTTTTGGGATTCAACTTAACAATTATGAAAACTTAAAGAGCTATCTTTGCTCTGTTTTGGAAGGAGCATACGTTTACCCGTTGATGATCATTTTACTAAAACTGAAAAGGCCGTCAATGCACTTTAAACTCCTCTGGTTTTGGCGGTGCCGATTGCTTCCCTTTAAGTAATTTAAGTAAATTAAGTAGGTACGGAACCAGATAGTAAGGCCCGTTTGTCGACGTACGGTATCAAATAAAAAAACTATACAGGTACTTATCAGCACCTCAGCCAACATTCTCCACCGAGAAATGATCTCCGGCCACAGTAAGCGCGGGTCTGCGAGTAAGAGTAACTCGCCGCCCGACCAGAACCAGACCCGAGCGTACGGCGCGTAGCGTTCCGCGCGCCCCTCAAAGAGCCAATGGACCACCACAGACGCGTCCCTATAAGGCTGTTGTTCAGCCGGGGTTGTGGGTTAAGCGCAATGAATCACCGCGGCCTCGGCCCAGAGCAGGAGAAGGTACGGGGGGTTTTTAGTCAGTTAGAGTCTGACACTAATGGGTAGGAGAAGCCATTTGATGATTTTCCCCTGACAAAAAAAAAAGCCAACATTCTCCACACTACTATACTAAAGTACTTTAGCGATACTACAGGCAGTAAAAGTCACACCGCAGACGAATTGATACCAGTCTAGGGAGTAGCAATAAAAATAATGTATCATTGGAACACAAGTGCTTCTCAAACATTAAGTGCTGTTCATTCCTCTGGGTCATTTCGGACATCGATATGATATGAGTGCACCGTTTTGTCGATGTAAGTGCTAAAATGGTGGTTTATTGGTTTTGTACTGAAATACCATGACTTGATCGTGTTGTTGAGAACTGTAGGGTGATATTATGTAGGCTATCAGTTTATGTTTGAGTCTTTTATAATAGACTAGTTTTTCTCGCGCGGTTTCACCCGCTTCTCGGCTCCATTTAATTGAAGCGTGTTGGAAACATTGTAGCTATCTATGAGTGAAAGAATTTTGGAAATCCGACCAGCGGTTCCAAAGATTACCCCCTACATACAACTTACAAATTTTACCTCTTTATATATTAGTATAGATTAAGACCTTAGTGTATCAGTAATAAAGCACACTTCCATATTGTGTTGTTTTTTATTTTATTAGTTTCATTAGACGGAAACTCTTATTAAAATTAAACAGGCTATATCTCATCAACTGCGATAACTAGAGTTTTTAGGGGACAAATTATCAAGTGGTTTCTCCTATTGTAGGTGGGGCGAGTGGGAGTGAAAGACTCTTACTGACTAAAATTCACCCCCGTTCCTTCTCCTGCTCCAGGACGAGACTATTGGACCCCATCTGAGTGGTCAAGGCTAGCTACCCTCGCTCGCAGATCAACACTTACGGTGGCATAACTAGGCAGTAGAAATTTGGACAGATGACGTATTGCTGTTATTGCTTTTAAAAATAAATCTAAATAACGAAGTATAATAAATATTTAAGGCAAGCTCCCATATGACAAAGTTTGGTATGACACATTGTACGCGAGTACGATTCGCACCAGTTTAAGAATATTTTAAAATGTATAAAAACGTCATAATTATGTAATTCAAATCTTTGGGCTGACATGTCGTGAACTTGTTGCTACTAGGCCAACGGATGTATACAAAAAGTACTTAAAAACTAAACCGAAGTATGCAGCAGCTAAATCAATTCGAAAGACATTACACCTTTAAATTAATTCACAATTCGAATAAAGAGTAAGATTTTTAAGACTGCTTAGAGATTTTTTAAGACTGTTTCTTTATTGTGTTAGTTTTGATTATACATTATAATAGTTTAAAACAAATGGGTCTTTTTAACATGTTATGTAATTTTGTTGTTTTTTTTTCCTTATGTATGTAGTTTTTAATTGTTAAAGTTCTTTAATTTTATTTTAATATTTGTACGCCTTCATGGCAAAACATATCGCACCTATATTATATAACCCAAGATCTTAATGTAAATACCTATGTTTCACAAATAAACGCTCTGATTCTGATTCTGATACAATAACGCTTTTCCTAGAAACTTTTAAATCCGACTCAAACCGCCGTCAATTGTGAAACAAAACAACAGAAGCACTTTAACACTTCAATGTGATATGAAATACTATCACAGTTGAAACTAGCAGTTTCCCAAGAACTGTGACTGTTGCTCGCTCAGATTACACCGAGATTTTCCTTGCACTAGTCCAGTTTATTTCACAAACAATTCGGAATATTGTCTCATGTGATAAAGGAATAGACGAAAATTGTACGATCGCGGAAGATTGTTGTTTTTGATGGCAGATTTTGAGATTGAGAGTGGACTCAGGTATTCTGTGTAAAATTGTTCCAATACAATCAGAAATAGAAAAGATTTATCAAGATTTTTTGCAAGAAGCTTTTATTTGTGTGTGTTTCACAATGTGTCGTTTTTTTATTGATAATCATTTTTTTTTGTTTATTTGGTAAGACGGTAAACGAGCTTATGCGTTACCTAATGGGAAACAAACTTTAACAAAAACAAATTGCACACTGGTATATTTATATTTGTATACATATATTTGTAACTTTGAAGCAAAACTCTCGAAACACTTGTACTTATTAAAGGGTATGTCAGCCGGGGTTGCGTGGCAAGCGCAATGAGGCACCGCGGTTTAGGCCCAGGGCAGGAGAAGTCATAGGATAATTTTCCACTCATAAAAAAATAGTATTTTCTTACAGAAATGATTGTTTTCAGTGCGATGTTGGTTTGGCACCTAACACTGCTTAGTAGAGCATACTAAGTGTTGCTCTTGTGTGGGTCAGGTCTTTAGTTTTTAGAATGATGGTGCTATTATTTTAGAGTTGTCGCTGCTCTTGGTCACCCGCAATATGGTATGACGCATGGTGACTCGTCAGC